ATCATTTGGAGATACAATGTGACCCTTAGTAAACAAGTGCACAGTCTTTGCACGCCACGTGTCACCCCTGGCATGCCAATGCAGCAATTATGCCACGTCAGCGTCAAGGACCAGAAAAGTCTACTAGGAGGGATGCCACGTCAGCAATGCTTGCCATACACTCAACACCGGCATACCATGTCAGCACATCAACAGCAAGCAATAGCGACACAGGTACGTGCCACGTCAGACCATGCCCTGCATGCCACATAAACAATGTGCCACATCAGCGGTACAAATCTTTCTCTGTATCAGCGCCACGTCAGCAGATTGCCAACGAAGCTCTTGTCGACATCTTGAAATCTTCAATGCAGCTACATCATCATCTTCAAGGGACAGTCGCTCGCACGTGCAATACTACAATGTCTAGACTTGCAGTATATACCGCCCACGTTAGTAAACGCGTTCCGTTTTGCACATGCGGCACCTCCCACTTACCTGGGTGCCACGTCAGCACCTGACAGCAGATAACAGATTGCGATGAAAGAGTTGCTCTGATACCAAATTGTAATGAACCCTGTCTGGCAGATACTCAGAAGCCGTCAAACATCAGTAGTCTCATTATCTGCATCAAAGTCTCCAAATCGTGAAGTGATATCTCAAACAGTATATCATTACCATCAAAGAAGAGAGTGGAGGGGGAATAGACAAAGTAGAAGATGAAAGATCACTCAATAATAATCCCTTCAGACCCCTCTCCTTCTCCGGGCTTCTTCCCTCTCCACGTCAATGATAATAAGTATATTCCTGATCACACACAATAGTGCGACGTGGCACTTTATCTCGTGAAGACCATGAAGACATAGCAGATTCCAGTGACGACGTTAATCTCAGGTGAGTACCCGACCTCCTTCATCCACAGATCCCGATCTTCTTCCTCCTCGCAACTAGTCACCTCATGTAGACAGCGTGGACAATGCCACGTCAATAGTCAAAACAGGTGGCATATGCCACATCATCAATGGAGACCAGTGGCAGCGTCACATCAGCATGCATTGTAAACCAGAGGCAGCGCCACATCGGCAGGCAATGTAGACCAAAGGTAGCGCCGCGTCATCATGCAATGTAGACTAGAGGTAGCGCCACATCAGCTTGCAATGTAGACCAGAGGTAGCGCCACATCAGCAATGTAGACCAGAGATAGCGCCCCGTCAGCACCTCAGCAAGACTGGCGCACAATACCAAAAGCGCCAGCATGCTGTCTCCATCTGATGTTGTCATCCACATCGCCAGTGCACAGCCAGCATCTAGCCAACGTCGAGCCAGCATAATGCCAGCGTCTAGTCAAAGTCGAGCCAGCGTCAAAGCAGCATAGCAAGATTGAATGCTTGACTCACTCCAGGCCAGCCTTAAGTAACAGTTATCGAGGTTGTCTGGCCTCGGGTGCTTTTCCCATAGTCGTCCAGATTGACTCACAGTTGAGGGCCCGGATTGTACAGTTGCAGACTTTTCCCTTGGACCTGATGCTGTCTGGGTACCTGCATACAACAAGTGTGCGTGCTTGACCGGTGGCCTGGGCTAGGTACCTTTGGACTTTGACTGTTGGGTTCACGACAGTTGACCAAAGTCAACTGTCACTTGTCCAGGCCATGAGTCTTTATTTTGGGTCCTTTTTTTGCCCCCATTCCGGCTTGGGCCGAGGGCGGCCGAGTTGGCCCTCAGTCTTTCCACGAGACATATGGCATGGGTTATTGCACCACAGTCGACCCCTGTAAATATGACACCCGGCCTGACACCACGACCGTTCGTACTTTCATTGCTTTTTCGAACTCGACGCTTAGTTTTGCTTATTCGATGACACGAGTGTGTGTATGTCACAACAGAGTTTCGAAGGGGCAGAAAAACACGAGCGGGCGAAAAGAACAACAAAAGAACAACAAAAGAACAACAAAAGAACAGTCGTCGCCGTGGCATCAGGTCAGGTGTCATAACTACAAAGGTCGGCCGTGGTGCCAGACGGGAAAGGAAAAAAGAAAAAAAGGCCCAACGGATGGATTTCAACTGCCAGTCGCCTCCTAGACTGCGGCTGCTCACCTTGCCCACGAGTCATTTTTTTGCCTTTGGGGTTTCAAAACGCTCCACGACCGCATCGAAACAAAAAAAGAAAAGCAAAAGTAAACTGGCATCCTAAGCTCTGAATGTGACTGCCTGTTTTCGAGGGTGCTGTGTGGCTAAGGGCCTTAAACTCTGTCACAGAGTGGCTCTTGAAACCCTTTCTAAACCCCAGCTTGCGACTCATGCGTTTTCAAGCGTCCTTGGCCGAACCTTTGAGGGACTTTCGATTTTAATGAGTTGCCAGGCCGTTATCCTGACGCCATTAAAAAAAAAAAAAACATGTACGACTGTCGTTTTTCATCCTCTATCGAACACCGTCGCCCTTTTGAGAGTGTTGTGTGGCGATGGGCCGAAAACTCTTGAAAACCCAACTCTTGAGAACGTCTGACAGCTCTTGAAAAATTTCCCCGTTTCAAAGCGTGAGTGGGAACGATATACAGAAAACCAAGTTGCAAAATCACACCGATGTGCAAGTAGTCGTGCACAAGCAGAGAGCACAATTGCACCGAGATTCCATCCAAATAAGAGCAAAACAATGAACTCGTGAGCCAACGTTCAAGCCCTCAGGCCACACCAACACAGTATCCAATGTTGCTCCTCTCTGTCTGGTGCCCAGCGCCCAGCCTACACTACTTGCCTATCCTACTTACATCACCATTCACACAACAGGCTCACTTCGACTTTGAAGACCAATGCACATGATGTCAACACCATAGCCGACCTCCCTCATGCACCAGGTACGTATCTCGTCTCCCCTCATCAGACCCTGACCACCCACACTCGCCTCCTTCCTGAAGACCACCGATCGCGCTCTTACCCCCTAGCGCCCTGCAGCCTGGCTATGGCTGCTTGCGCTCTGCTGCCCAGCGGCGCCCCTCTCACCTCACACGAGCCCGCACGCACCCTGGCCACTAGCGCAGCCCGCAGCGTCTCCCTCAGCAACGCAGCAGTTTGACCGCATTGCCTGCGTGGGCCAGAATACTAGACCCTGGCTGCCTCCTTCCCTATATGGAAGTGGCAGCCTCTGTTTGGCTGTGTGTGGCCTGGCTGGGAGGCTTCCAGTAGCTTCCGGTCAGGCCCCAGTACCTGCGCCCAGGCCCAGTGCTGCAGTTGAGGGCGTGAGCCCTTTACAGTTGGGCACGGCCTGAGTTTCCAGACTTGGGCTGTTTGCTGCATTTGCACAGGACCCGGGGTCTGTATGTCGACAATGCTGCTTTTGCGTAGGCCCGTAGCCACTTCGTGATGTATCTGCCCTGCATTGCGTGTATGTGCCCAGGCGCAACCACCAAGGCCCGCGCCAAACTGTACGACACAGCTTAGGGAGGCTCACGCTTCCATTCAACCAACTGGCGTGCTGCAGCAGCCTGAGCACCCACATATGGAAAATGTCAAAATTATTTTGGCCTCTAGTGAATACTCAGGCCCGCCTTCACTTAGGACGGGCACTGGGCTTGCTGAGGGCCTCTGCCCAGAACATGTGCATGTCTGATAAGGGCCCTGCGAGGGCTCATTCCTCGCAAGTGGTGTGGCGAGGCCCATATTCATCCTGGGCTGGCTATAACTGCAGGCAGATACATTCTGGAACGTGCCAGCCTTAAAATGCCCTGAAACACTCCTTGCTGACAGAATTGCTCCCAGTCTCACAAGGGGAGTCACAGCAGCCACAAGGGAAACAGCCCAGATTCTTCAGTTTTATAAAAAGAAAAGAAAAACAAAAGAAATGGACGTCCGAAGCTGTGAAAGTGAATGCCTTGATATTCATTGAGGGCTGGTCATAACTGCGGCCAGATACATTCTGGAAAGTGCCAGCGTGAAAATGTCCTGAACCGTTCCTTGCTGACAATCACTCCATTGCTCCCCGTCAGGCGGTCCCACACACAAAAATCATCGGGGTGTCTCCTCGGAATAAGGAGGTGGCTGATGCTCCCCTATCGCCTTATCCGGACAGTCAATGCCATGAAGTGGAGACACAGCAAGCACAATCAGTGTCTACGGTTGCAGGTTGATTTGGCCCATACTAGTCAGACTGGATCACAGCTCTCTCTGCAAGATCAGCGACACCGTTTTGATTCGCGACAGTAACCCTTACCACAGACGGGTGTGTCAGAATCCCGGCAGCAGCACAGTCATCCAACCCAGCGAGCATAGTCAAGAACAGCCTTCCTTGCAGCTCATAGTCAACCACAGCCTTCCTTGCAGGCTGGCTTGCAAGAGCAGGCCAGCCAGCAATCGTCTCAGGCATTTCCAGTGTTGGTGCAAAGCTTCAAACTGGGCAAAGGCTTGTAGCTGAAACTGTTGCCATTTCACCTGCTTTTATTGTCTTTCCCCTCATCCTCACATGGGCTGAAGGGAAGCTGCGTTTGTTGACGGCTACACAGCAACAGTAGCGCAATCTGATTCTGCCTCACATTCTTTTTCCACGGCAGGGACTCGGAGCCTACAGTCTATGATATGATTGGTGACGTTTACAAATGGATGCAGCAAACATATAGACTGCGAAAGCGGCCGGAGGTTCGTTCGATCAAAGTGCCCAGGGCGCTACCTAGTGGTGAAGAAGCCTCCCTTATTTTTCTGTTCATTGAGGCAAGGACCACTGATTCGGATGCGGCAGACAGAGTCCTTCTGGACATCTGTTAAAATTGAAAAGAAAAAGGGGTAAGCTCGGTTGTGGCACTACCACCAAGCTCACGGGCTGAGTTCTCAAGAGCAACAAAAGCATTTCTTACGGGCGCAGCGAGTTTGAAAGGGCAACAAACTCATGTGCCGGGCTTGGAAAGGGCAACAAAAATATCATACGCTGGCCACAGCCATTTTTACCAATATCTCCCTTTTCAAACTCCGCACACAATTCTGTTGCCCCAACATGTTTATTTTGCACTGTTGGGGCAAAATATCATACGCTGGCCACAGCCCCAACATGTTTATTCTCCCCTAACCCGCGCCACTGTCCTCCTCCTCATGTTCACTCCGCACATAAACTGCAATTGTGACACTGCCGGTGCAATCACACTCGACTTCAGACTTGCTTTCAACACGCATACACGGCAAAACCAAATTCGTCAACTCAGAATCAACAATGAACTTGCACTTAAACCCTGTTCAAAACAACTGTACAACTTGTGGCTATGGCCGCCAAACACTGTCTCCACCACCAGCCTCACTCTCCCTCATGCATGCATGTACGAAGATCACCCTGAATGTCCACGCTACACAGACACACACCCTCTGTACACTGTCTGAGACTACTGCTGGGCGGTTATGGCCGCTTTCGTCTTCCTCCTCCTAGCTATGGCCGCCGACGTCCTCCTCGCTGGTTCGCTATGGCCACTGTCTTCTTCACAGCCCACTTCCTCTCCAGGCACCTGCAGACCTCCACGCACAAGATACCAAGGCAGCTCTTCCACATGGCTCACAGGCGAATGAATGAATGGTTGGACGATGCCTCTTTATTTATACTTCTTCGGAGGTACCCGGGCCTGCCTCAAAACGTGTGGGCCTGGGCCAAAACCTGTGGAACCCACCCCGTAGACCACAACCTTCCCCACGTGCAGCCCATACCCCTGGTACTTGCTGACTGGACTGGCCTACGGGGACCTACGACCTTCTAGAGCCTACAGACTTACAGACAGACTCTAGGCCTCAGTAGACTCAGATAGAGACTTCTAGAACATACCTTCCTAAGCCTAACAGTAACAGACCTAACTCCTAATCTACAGACCTGCGGATCGAGTCCTCCTATCCGACCTACAGACTAGCCTAGGGGGTAGGACAGGTCATGGGATCGAGTCCCGCACAGATCACTGGGTCTATGTACAGGGTATAGGGTAGGTCCAGGGATCGAATCTCACTCAGCACACAGGGTCAATGTACAGGGCCCGGGCACAGGTCTAGGGATCGAATCTCTGTGTCTGCAAATGTCGGGTCAACTGGGTGAAACCGTTTCACTCCCGCCGTCCTAAATTCGAGGTCCTCCGAGAACATTCTAACTCAAGATAGGGCCTTTACCCTTTCTTTCTCTCTCATAAGCATGTACTATGTCGGGAGCGGTTTCTAAGATCTTTGTTCTAGTAAACCATCGGTCGTCCTAGGGTTCCTGGTATGCGAACCTAATCTTATATTGTTTCTGGGGACGACCTCGACCACCTGTCCTGAAAGCGTCCTCTTCCACTATGCGATCTATATCGTATGCACCATCCATGTTTGGCGGAATCATCGATCTCCTGGAAGGGAATCTATCGGACGTGGTGCAAGGCAACAACTTGGACACATGGAAGACTGGGTACGTGTGGAGGTGTAGTGGAATCTCTATCATATATGACGGGCCGTCCTCTCCCCCTTTGACTTCTAGGACAGGCCATGGTCCTCTATACGCAGGTAAGAGCTTCTGCGAGATGTTTTCCTCTGGTGCGAATTCCTTTGACTTGACCCAGACTAGATCGCCTACCTGAAACTATGATGGTCGGCGATGCTTGTTAGCCTGCTCTATCATCCGGTGCTGGGCCTTCCTAAGTTTGTCAACGACCTTAGTGACTTCTTGCTCATGGTGTAACGCAAACTCTCGAGTGTCGGGTGGTAGTCTCTGTATCTGGTCAAGGTTTAATCCTTCAAAAGGTCGCCTAGGTCTAAAGGACTTATGTAAGTTGTTAGCAGTCTTGCATGTAGCTAGATGGACATTGTTATTATAAGGGCTTGCCACTTTGGTGCGCATCTCATCCCAGTTTACTTGAACTGGTCTAATGTACATCATGAGTAGTTGCTGCAAGATCTTATTCATCTGCTCTATCTGGCCGTTAGTCTATGGGTGTCATCCTGACGACATCAACAACTTAGACCCATATACTTTCATTAGATCCTGCCAATTCTAGCTAGTAAACCGCGTATCTCTATCACTTACTATGGACAACAGTATACCATGCTCGCTTACCCAGAAATCCAAGAACTTTCCTATTACTAAATTTGTCCACGCTTCTGCCGGTAGCGGAATAAAAACTGCATATTTACTAAATCGGTCTACAATAACCATAACTTGACTTTTGTCGCGCCTACTTCTGACCCCAGTATCCATAAAGTCGATTGAAACTGACTCTCTAGGTCCTGATGGAATAGGCAGGGGTCTGAGAAGACCTAGCGGAGCTCTCGTTGTGGTCTTATTGCGCTGACACACCTTGCAATTGCACACATCCTCTATGCAGTTTGCCTTCATACCTGGCCACGTGTTTGACCTCATCAAGTTACCTAAAGTCTTTCGCCACCCAAATTGCCCTTCGGTATCGTGGCATTCCCCTAAGATCAGGCTACAATATTCTTCATTGTTGGGGACACACAATCTATCAGCGACATTGGTCTTCTCAAACAGTAACCCGTTCGTGGTTCGGTAATGCGGTTCACTATCTGGGGTTTCCTTTACTCTCTTTAGGAGCTCGCTATAGATCGGGTCCTGTGCATAAACATATCTTACTTTCTGCTGCAGGTCGGCCCCTATGTCTAGATAGTGCACTATCGCGCCGAAGTAATCAGCCCCCCTACTCAGAGCATCGGCTACCACGTTATACTTTCCTTTTACGGGCTCTAACTCAAAGTCAAATTGGTCTATCTCAGCAGCCCATCTAGTTAACTTGGGCGTCATCTTGGCCTGGGTCTTAAGCCATCTAAGAGTCTCATGATCTGAATATACCTTGAAGTGCCTCCCAAGCAAGTAATGCTTCCAGTGATCTAGAGCCTGCCTGAGAGCGTAGAGTTCCCTCTCGTATGTCGATGCTGCTACTTTTTATGAAGGCGGTTTGGATGACATGAACTCTACGGGTCTATAACTGTTGCCGTCATCTTGCTGCAAAACAACACCTATGCCATACTGACTAGCGTCTGTAGTGACAACAAATGGTAGTGACGGGTCAATAACTTTGAGGACAGGGTACTCTATTAAGGCCTTCTTTAATTTCTTGAAGGTTGACGTGCAATCCTGGTCCCACTTCCAAATTGTTTCTTTCTTCAACAACCTACGAAGGGGAGCAGCGATCGTGGAGAAGTTCCTTACGAGCTTTCTGTAGCAGTTAGCCAACCCAAGGAACGAGTGTAACTCTGTCAGTGTCCGAGGAGTTGGCCAATCTCTAATAGATGCTATCTTACTGTCCTCAGGCCGAATATCATCTCCGTCTAGTACATGGCATAGGTAAAGGACCTTTGTCTTGGCCCTCTCACACTTCTTCAGGTTAATCTTGAAGTTAGACTCTTTTAGCTTGCCTAAAATCTGCCGCAGATGGCCTTCATCCTCCTCGAGGGTCTTGCTGAACACTAGGATATCGTCTAAGTAAACTACGACGAACCTATTTATCCATGGCCTAAACAATTTATTCATTCAATGCTGAAATGTAGTCGGTGCATTAGTTAGTCCAAATGATATTACTATGAACTCGTTATGCCCATACCTTGTCCTGAACGTCGTCTTATACTGATCGTTAGGATGCACCTCTATCTGATGGTACCCCGATTTCAGATTTATCTTTGAGAAGTACTTGCATCCCTGCAGTCGATCTAAAAAGTCATTTATACAAGACAATGGCTCTGCATTTTTTATTGTGATGGGGTTCAGTCCCCTGTAGCCTATACACATGCGTAGCTCTCCCTCCTTCTTTGGGACAAATAGAACAGGTGCGCCAAAGGGTGACGGACTAGGTCTTATCCATCCTTTCTTTAGGAGCTCGTCTAACTGCCTGCGAAGCTCCTCTAGCTCCTTGGGAAACATCGTGTAGACTGCCCCCTTAGGCATTCTACTGCCAGGTTTTATTTCTATACGGTGCTAGATCGGTCTGGGCACAACTCCTGAAGGTGCTTCAGATAAGTCCTTGTACTCTTCCAGCAAACTGGCGATAGTGGAATGGATCTTCTCTTCTTCCTTTGGCTTGTCAGAGATCGGCCTAACGTAGGCTACAAACACCTGCTCTTCAAGCTGCTCCTTTCGCACAAGTCTGACGAATGCAGGAGTGTTGAGGCAGCAATGGGCAAGGGGGTTATCTACCCCAGACTCATGGTACAGGCGGACTCGTTTGACTTCGCTTGACGCACTAGGGAGCCTACACTCGTGCTCTCTAAGGTGTAGTGTGGCTCGTGCTGCCTCTCCCCAATATGTGCCTAAGACAATATCAAATGGGAGATTCTCTTCTACGAGGAAGGGCAAGGAATGCAATACCTTCTCTACCTTCCCTTCTTTCTCTAGGCGAAAGTAGGCGTGGACCCCCTCAACATACTCATCAACGCACATCCTACCGTTGTTTGCGAGGATGCTGACTACAGGTTCTACTAATCGTTGGACTTTCATGTTAAGCTTCAACTTTTTCAGTGCTTTACGACAAATATAACTCCTAGTTGCCCCACCGTCTATCAGGGCCCCTACTCTGGTTCTAAAAATTTCTACGTGTGCGAGGATTGTCCTTTACCACCCTTCTTCATCTTGGCTCAGGCTTGCCTCCTGTCTCTCACCTCTTCAGCTAAGCCTGTGAGGGAAGCGTCTAGAGAGACCCTAACACAAACAGTCTCTGGACAGCCTACTAGACGCTCGCATGCAACCTCTGCCATGGAGATATGTGGAGTGGGAGACTCTGCTTCGCGCGCACACTCAGATCCACGTACTCCTAGGGTAGGGGCAGTTGCAACCCCTACCGACGACTGTCTTTTGCTGCACAGACGTAGCACGGTTCCTATACTTATAACACAATTTTATAATGTGGCCTGGGTCCCCGCAAAACACGCACTGAGACCTATTAATGCGTTTTTGCCGTACTTTTTCCTCTATACCCAAATCTTCCTAACGTTGGCCCTCGGGCCGACCTGGGTGCCACCATCCCTGTCTGGGGGGTGACCGACTAAAACGCGGACGGTTAGACGGGGGACCTTGACCCCTTCCTCTTGCTTGACGGGCCCCATTGCCGCCAACCCCCTGGCCGCCCTGTCCTCGGCCACTTGGGGCCCGACCATTTTGGCCAGGTCCTCGTCCTCCTCCCTGCAGCCTTCCTTCGTTTGCGACAACAGCGTAGGTTCTCCCCTAACCCGTGCCACTGTCCTCCTCCTCTAGTCCCTACTCAATGTCTAAGTAGGGAATCTCCTGAGCACCACCTTCCTCCATCGTTAGAATCAGATTGTCGTTGGCCTTAACTGGGCCAGAGATGGTCCGCCCATTCCATGTTTTCCCTTTAGTTAAGTCCTTATGCCAGAATGTGGTAACTGACGATGCTTGGGCGGCGAATGACACCGCCCTGCTAAGGACATCGTATGCCATGCCCTGCTGATTCCTCTTTTCAAAGAAATATCCTTGAATATTATCAGGCAAGGCACGATAGAAGAGTTGGACCAGTTGAGCATCGGTAACTCCATGCAGGAACAACGATTAACTCGTCCATGGCGGACTTAAGGGCATGCACACTCTTCCACTTCCTCGTGTGAATCATTTGCAGTTTGTCGGAGGCTTTAAGTCCCCGCGTAACTTCAGAAAATCTTTCCCTAAGGGACTTAAAGAACTCTGAGAGGGGAGTGACTCTCGAATATGTGACCATATCATTGTCACAATTCGCGGCCCGTGCTAGCGATCTCGCGAAGCTAGTTGCTTCGTCTTGTAATGCCTGGAAGGCCACTAGAACATGGTATTCTGGCGCAACTCCCTGTAGGTACAGATAGGAATTAACACTGGCTTCCTAGTTGTCAAAGTCCTTCCCGTTCTTCTATCAGGGAAACAAACCTTGACTTTCTTGTGACGTGGTGGGGCCAACTCCTCTTCCTTAGCAGCCGCTAACTTGGCGCCTTCGATGGCGCCAATGCAGAATTCCTTCGTTTTACTAATCGCCAGGTGGACCTGTTCCACCAAGTACTTCATCATGTCTCGTGCAAAATCTTTAAACCCGGTACGTATCGCTTCTAACTTTATATCTTGACTGCGTAGGTACTGCATCTGGTCACGATGTGCAATTAGTAGGGATTCTACACTCTGGGTCAGGGTCTCAACCTTGGTAGCTATCTCGGTCTCAGCCTTGATCTTCCCCATCCTGGCCTCTACCGCCTTTAAGTCTCTTTCTGCTTCCTCTGCTGCTTCCGGACGCCTAACTTTTTCTTGGGACAATCGCCACTTCCATGCCCTCTGCTGTTCTTCCTTCTTCGCCCTTCTTCTCACAGGGTCCCTTTCTGCTTCCGACTGCCTCCTCGCCGCTTCTCTCTCTTCTTGGGATATGGCCAACTCTGCCTCTCTATCTCCTCCCAATTCCAAGTGTGCGGCCCATTCCTGTGTTATCTTCTCAATCTCCTCCTCCTTACTCGTACTGGCTTCACCTCTTCTTCTTTCCAATGCCGCTTCTTTTTTTACCTCTTCTTCTTCTTCTTCTTCTTCTTCTTCTTCTTCTTCTTCTTCTTCTTCTTCTTCTTCTTCTTCTTCTTCTTCTTCTTTCTCCACCACCGCTTGTATAGCTGCCATCTTTTCCTCCTGCTCCTTCGTCCACTTCTCCATCTCCTCCTCCATCTGCCTATTCTTTGCTTCCTGCTCTTCTAGCAGGGCCAACATCTTGGCCTGCTTGATCAACTCCCTCTTCTCCATCCTTTCCTTTCTCTCTAGCAGAAGGGAAGCAACTATCTCCTCTTGCTCCTTGCTGTAGGGGGTGGTGCTAGCTCCGGACCTGGTGTTCACCATGGTGACAGTGCACAATCAACAACCATTTCGCGCCTCAAAACGTAAACCCACCAGGTTAACTTGTATCTAGGGGACGCCTACTCACTACTCGGGTTGGACTCGCGACTCTATGACCACATCCACAGAGTCCTATCGACCTGGACAGAAGTGACAGGGAGATATGGCTGACTGACTCCGACAGACTCGACGTCAGCAAGTACCAAGGTGAAGGTCCACACCCATAGGGTAAGGGATAGGCCAGGGCTTGGAGAGACAGTACCGTTCATCTTCTCGCTCTAGTTGGGTCAATGCTCCGGTCAATCGTCTCGGTCAACTCACCGTTCAACTCTCCTGGTCAATGCCTCGGTCAACTCTGGTCAACGCCCAGTCAACGCCCTTGGTCAACTCTGGTCAATGCCGGGTCAACATTGGTCAACTCCCCTGGTCAACCTTTCGACCTCCCGGTTATGGCAGACCACCTTCTTCGTCAAACCTTTCGTCTCCTTCACCTCGGCTATGGCCGACTTTGTCTCCCTCTTTGTCAACTTCTTTCGTTCTTCTCACTTCGTCTCTCTTTGCTTCTTCTTGTTGGTTGTCTTCTTCCCTGAGTTTGGCAACTATGTCTGCCGTCCCCCTTGTTACATGCTGTGCCTGCACACGGGTGCTATTTTGAAGGGCCCGACGGTTGCTAAGGGGCCCCAGGCCACGCGCCAGCCAGCGCGCACCCTGGAGGCCCACAACAGCCTCTTTGGCCACAGGTACCCCTGTACCGGTAGGGTTTGTCCGAACGTCGTTTCAGACTGCAGACCCAGACGACGTTTCGGACTGCAGGTCCCAAGGCAACGCCTTGGACCAGGTACATAGAGACCAGACCTTTTTCAAGGCCAGGCACGTTTTGGCACCTTGCTGCATCAGCAGCGCAGTCCGGGCACCCGGTGGGGACCCAGATTCCGTAGGCCGTTTTGAGGCCGCACCTGAGTCCTCCTGGTGTCGCGCCCCCACTGCTTCAATGGTCCGGTGAGATATCCTTCCCTGGACCGAGCTCAGTGGGTTGGAGGACTGGCAGGCTGTCACGCAGAATTTTGGTAGATATTACAAATAGTGGTGTGTTCAGAGGCAGTCACACTTTATCATACAACCGAGTAGTTAGGGTTATCCCTCCTGCCAGCGGCGACACGGCTTAGAGTGAGGCGTTCGGGTTTATCGCCTGCACCTGACCCCGTATAAAGGATAGACTCAAGGTCAGCAGAGTCCCTATCATTCAGGAGTCCTTTAAGCTGCCTTGAGTGTAACCTGCATAAAATAAGGAGGAAAAATAACATGCATCATAGAGAAATTGACACTGACAAAATGAGAAGACCAGAAACCAGACTCTGCAAGAGTATGACCAGAGATACGAGACTGAAGAGTAGTACACAGAGTATGCAGGAAGCAGCCATTGGAGGGCTGCAGTCACTAATAAATAATAATGTCGTAATACATCAATAGTGACTGAAAAGAGAGAACTCAATCAATGATAATAAGCGGTACCCCCTCGTGAGTGAGTGCTGCCCTCTGGAACTCCTCGTCATTGAGAACTCGTGTGGCTATAGACTCTGGAACCACATAGCTGATCTCGAGAGGCGCTGTTGGATCAATCTTGCAGATATAGGCCATGCATCTGGCCATCTCCTCGTCTGCGACGCTCCTGAGATAAAGCTCCTCCGCAAGGATGATATCACATTTTTTTGCCTTTTGCTTTCGTATTGTTTTCGAAAGAAAAAAAAGACTTTCCGTTTTGTTGTTTTTTTTCGGTGAATTTGCATTTTCTTTGCGTCAGTTCGAAAAAACACAAACAAAAAAAGACAAAAGAAAAACAAAAGAAAAAAAAGACCATTTTATTTTGCAATCGTTTTGGGTCGGAATGAACTTTGCAGTAGAACATGGTCAGATGCAGGCACACGAGTGTTTGGCGCTCGGTCCGCGGTGCAGGCTGTCCGCGGGCATCGCCAAACCACTGTCGAAATGTGAGAAAAAGTGGCGGCCGCATATGGCCATGTTGTAGCACGAAATTCATTCTCATTTGGCTGTTTGTCTGCTCTCTCATCGCCACACGACAGACTCTTGCTCACTCTCTCTCTCACACACAGACACACAGATGGGACGAAGTTTGCCTGTCTGTCTGTGTGTGTGCGTGTGGGTGTGTGGTAGAGGAAGAGTGCGGTTGAGACTCTGACATCACCAGTGGCATGGGCCGAGACAAGGGTGCGCCATGTAGCTATGGCGCGCACGTCTTGAAAAAAAAAAAAAAAAAAAAAAAAAGGAGGAAGTTTGCCTGTCTCTCTGTCTCCCTCTGTTCGTGCTCTTTTTCTGTCTTTCTTTCTCTCTCTCTATCTGACAGTGTATGTATGTATGTCTCTCTCTCTCTCTCTCTCTCTCTCTCTCTCTCTACACATCTAGGTGTATACACTGTCTGAGACTACTGCTGGGCGGTTATGGCCGCTTTCGTCTTCCTCCTCCTAGCTATGGCCGCCGACGTCCTCCTCGCTGGTTCGCTATGGCCACTGTCTTCTTCACAGCCCACTTCCTCTCCAGGCACCTGCAGACCTCCACGCACAAGATACCAAGGCAGCTCTTCCACATGGCTCACAGGCGAATG